CTGGGTGGGAGAAAAAATATGATAGATTTAATGAGAATAAAAAGGATGAAGATAATGATTGAGAAGAATATGTGTGTGTGTGTTAATGTTTATTGGTGTTGATTGAAAAGATAAGTAAAAAAAGTATCTATCTATATATCTGTTTAATTGTGTATCTGTTTATCTGTATATTCGTCTGTGTAGATGGATAGATTGATAAATGTATAGTTCAGAATTGAGCAATAATGTTGCACGCAAGTTCTTATGATAATGATAATAAGAATGATAAGATTAAAGATAGTGATATAAAAATAATGATAATAGTAACAATAACATTAGTGTTAAAAAATAATAATAATAGTAATGATAATGGTAACGATGATAATAACACTGATGATGGTAATAACGATGATGATAATAAGATAATAATGATTATCATAATGCCATTTCTTAATAATAATAATAATAATAATAATAATAGTAATAATAATATTAATAATGATAATAATAATAATAATAATAATAATAATAATAATAATAATAATAATAATAATAATAATAATAATAAAAATAATAATAATAATAGTAATAAAAATAATAATAATTATTATAATAATAATAATAATAATAATAATAATAATAATAATAATAATCATCATCATCATCATCATAACAATAATAATAACAATAATAATAACAATAATAACAATAATAATAACAATAATAATAATAATAATAATAACAATAACAATAATAATAATAATAATAATAATAACAATAATAAGGATGACAATAAAGATAATAAACCCGTCGCGCCTTGGTCTTCAGAGGTGACAAGACTTATTCATAAAATATATTGACTGAAACTTTACACATTTGAAGGGCCATTCTGAACGTCATTTTTACAAGTAACTCTGGGGACTTGAGTCAACTTTGTGGAAAGGAAAGTTTTTGTCCTTTGTTGAAATTGTAAACAAAAAAAAAAATTGAGTTTGCGAAAACGATGAAAACGTGGACAGAGTAATTCTTAAAAGGAAAAAGAATAGAAATGATGGTAGTAGTTATTAAAGTCATTATCATTATCGTAATTATTATTGTTGTAATTACTGTTGTTATTATTATTGTTATCATTATTATTTTTATCAATATTATCATCATTATTATTATTATTATTATTATTATTATTATTATTATTATCATTATTATTCATTATCATTATCATTATTTTCATTATTATCATTATTATTATTATTATTATCATAATTTTGTTTTTTCATTATTATAATTATCATTATTAATATTATAAGCATCATCATCATCATCATTATCATCCTCATCATCATTATTATCATTATCATTATCATCATCATAATCATCATCATCATCATCATCCTTATTATTACTACTATTATTGTTATTAATATTATCCTTATTATTGTCATTACTATTATTATTATCATCATCATCATCATTATAATCATTATTATTATTATCCTTATTACCATTATCATCATCATTATTATCATTATCTATAAGCCTCCTTCAGCTAAACAGCAGTTAAGAGTTCAAACAGAAAGAAAAAAACATGAAAAAGATTCAGATTTCCTCGAGGAATAACTGAAGTCCACTTACCTAACTTGTGTGAAGAGAGAGTGAAAAAAATGCCTCCACAAAAAAAGAAAATAATAAAAAAAAAGAAAGAAAGAAAGAGAGAAAGAAAGAAAAAACTCCTAACCCCTCGCATCCTCCACTTCATGAAATTCAGAAGATAAAGAAGACGAAGGAGAATAAGAATAAGAATAAAAAAAAAATAAATAAATAAAATAAAAAATAAGTAAGATCAAAGGTATCTGGATCTTCTTTATACTGTTCAAAGAGCTTTCAAAAGGTATCTAAACCTCGATTATGGTGTTCAAAGGCTTTCCAGAATCATCTCAATCTTAAGTGCGTTGTTCAGAAAAAAAAACGAACTTCCACGAGAACTTTTCCTGTTCTTTGTTCATCACTTCAGGCAGGTAAGATTAATTAAGGATAAATAGTGAAGACTTAGTTCCTTGACTGAAGATGATAAATATTTTGTAAAGTAAATTGACTGCATTTGAGATACTTGTTGATGATAAAAAGTTGGAAAATTATCTGCGAATTATGCATTCTTTACTATTGTTAATTATGTAAATCTTAGTGGGGCAGGAGAGTTAAGAATGGTGTTACATGGATTAGGATATAAGCACAATAATCATTAGGATTACGATCCTAACGTTTAGACATAGAAGTATATACATACACACATACATATATACATATTCATATATATACAAATATGTATATATAATCATATATATATATATATATATATATATATATATATATATATATATATATATATATATATATACATACATATATACACATATATATATATACTATATATATATATATATATATATATATATATATATATATATATACATACATATATACATATGTATATATATATATATATATATATATATATATATATATATATATATATGTGTGTGTGTGTGTGTGTGTGTGTGTGTGTGTGTGTGTGTGTGTGTGTGTGTGTGTGTGTGTGTGTGTGTGTGTGTGTGCGTGTGTGTGTAAGGAATTATTATCTCTCCGTGGCTCCCCGGCGCAGGCGAAAGCATTGGGCAGAGCCAGGCAGCGGCGGGAGCGGCCTGGCGCTGCTCGCTCCCCGGGCGCGCGGCCGAGGAGCTGCCTCGTTCAATAACTCAGAGCCGCTTCGGATGGATCGTAAACCTCGCGCTTGTGATATTAAATGATTACCATTTCCTGTACAGTAAAGCGATGTGCGGAATTAGAGAGAAATACAATTATATGGTATGGCCAATGTCCGGGTTTCCTACAGAGCTGTGAGATTATATTGAGATCAATCAGATGGATGAGGCACGTCAGGAGAGCGGCCATGCGGTCATGTCGCGCATTGCATATTGCCTTCGTGGCGGTAGATTGCAAAAGCAACCGTACTGGAATTAGTAAAATTTGGAGGTGAATCGCTGTTATGATTTATACGCTATCACTGATGGACATTAGGGTCATAGATACTGATTAATGGTGCATATACATATATATATATATATATATATATATATATATATATATATATATATATATATATATACATATATATATATATATATATATATATATATATATATATATATATATATATATATATATATATATATAATATGTATATATATACATATATATATATATATATATATATATATATATATATATATATATATATATATATATATATATATATATTTATATAAATATTTATATATATATATATATATATATATATATATATATATATATATATATATAAATATGTATATATATACATATATATTTACATAAATATTTTTATATATATATATATATATATATATATATATATATATATATATATATATATATATATATATATATATATATATATGTATATATATACATATATATATATATATATATATATATATATATATATATATATATATATATATATATATATATATATATATATATATATATATATATATATATATATACATATATCTTCTTCATGTACCATGCTTTATAGCGTTGGCGACCACAAACCTCCACTCATCTCTATTTTGAAAGCGTATGAGTTCTTTATTGTCCCTTGCTCCTGTCCTTGATCGTCCTTGATAGTCTCCATTCCCTGTGTCTCCTTGCCGGTTTTCCTTCTGTTTTTCCTGTTAGGACTAGATGTTCAAACTCGTTAGCTCTGATAATGTGTCCTATGAATTTCATTACTTCCCTAGTAAATTTGTTTACTTGTAATACGGTGTTTCCTATTTCAATATTACATATTGGTGTAATCTTTTTTTTTTCTTTGATGTTACCATTGTGTATGTTTTCTTGCTGTCTAAGGTAAGTCCCATGTTCCCGCTTTCTGCCATGACTTTATCTACACGTGTCTGGAGGTCCTCATTCGATGCTATCAGTGCAGTGTTATTTGCATATTGTATGTTGTTGATGGATCTGCCTCTTGATTCCAGGTAGGTTGTCTAATTTCCTTAAAATCATTTCGCTGAAGAGAGAAAATGAATCTGGGGACGAGACACATCCCTGCCTGGCCTAGTTTTGCCACACCTAGTTCTTCTTCATGTCTAATTGTTGCTTGTTGTTCCCAATAAATGTTTCTAATAATCCTCAGATCCCTTCCGTCTATATTTATATTGCATAAAGTGTTTAATAATATCTCGTGTTGAACTTTATCAAAAGCTTTTGTTGCATCTCTGTTGCTCTTTCTATTATTGTTCAAGTAGAAAAATTGCCTTTCGTGTACCCTTTCCCTCCACAAACCCGCGCTGACTGTCTCCAAGCTCTACTTTTACCCTTTTCTTTGCTCAATACATCAAAATTCTCAAGAAGATTTTGATAATATTACTAATTACATTTATTGTTCTATGGAATTCATATTCCGTTGCCCCAGTTTTTTTCAGTATTGCTATGAAAATTTATTATAGCAGGTCTACGGGTATGTTTCCTGTTTTATATACTTCATTAATCCTTTCCTTCAGTTTGTCTTTTCCTACTGAAGCTTCTATCATTTCAATATGTAATTGGTCTATACCTGGAGCCTTTCCCTTTTTCGTCTGTTTGATTACATGTTTTATTTCTGTGTCTATTATATCTAGTCCTATATTTTCGTCTCTGATGGATGGTTTGATACCCCTATCATCTGCAAAAATTTCTATGTATTCTGACCATCTTTTCAGAATGTCATCGTTTTCCTTTATAAGTGCACCATCTTTAGCTTTTATGCATCCACTAGCGCTGATTATTTTCTTGTCTGTTACTTCTTTGATGTCCCTATCTATTTCTTTAGTACTTCCATTCTTTAGTCTTTCACACCTTTTATTTAACCACTTCTCCTTTTCTTCTAGAGATTTCTTTTTGATTATTTAATTTCATATTCTATATTCTTCTTCTGATTTTTG